AACCCCATGCAATGCTACAGGCTTGGGGAAGAGGGGCCGGAAAGCTGCCTGGCAGAAAAGGACCTGGGGGTGTTGGTTGACAGCCGGCTGAATATGAGCTACTAGTGTGCCCATGTGGCCAAGAAGGCCAACAGCATCCTGGCCTGTATCAGGAATAGTGTGGCCAGCAGGAGCAGGGAAGTGATTGTGCCCCTGTACTTGGTGCTGGTGAGGCCGCACCTGGAATACTGTGTCCAGTTTTGGGCCCCTCAATACAAGAAAGACATTGAGGTGCTGGAGCGTGGTCAGAGAAGGGCAACGAAGTTGGTGAAGGGTCTGGAGCACAGGCCTTATGACGAGCGGCTGAGGGAACTGGGATTGTTTAGTCTGGAGAAGAGAAGGCTGAGGGGAGACCTTATCACTCTCTACAACTGCCTGAAAGGAGGCTGTAATGAGGTGGGTGTTGGTCTCTTTTCCCCAAGTAACTAGCTAGCGATAGGACAAGAGGAAATAGCCTCAAGTTGTGCCGGGGGAGGTTTAGATGGGATATAAAATTTCTTCACGGAAAGGGTAGTCAAGCATTGGAACAGGCTGCCCAGAGAGGTGGTGGAGTCACCATCCCTGGAAGAGTTCAAAAAACGAGTAGATGTGGCACTTTGGGACATGGTTTAGTGGGCATGGTGGTGTTGGGTTGATGATTGGAATGATGATCTTAGAGGTCATTTCCAATCTTAATGATTCCTAGTTTTTACTTTCATTATAATGATCCAGCCACCAAGCCAGGAGGCATGGGGTTGCTACTCTACCCTTAATTGGTTTAGTGGTGGACTTGGTAATGTTAGGTTAATGGTTGGACTGGATGATCTTAAAGGTCTTTTCCAACCTAAACGATTTTATGATTCTGTGACATCTGCCAACAGACACCTATAATTCTTAGCTGGCTTTTAGTGCAATTAATTTTTCTGCTAGTTTGAGAAAAGTCTTAACACCAGTGCCTATTTTTGTCTTTAAACTTCCATTCCTCTCTTATTTTTTTTCCTCCCTCAACTAGAAAATATAATGAAGGCCAGTGCTAGGGGATCGGCAAGTATCCTGTCTGCCAGGTTCAGAACTTCCAGCTTCCTTCTCCAGTGTTCTGTTAATAGTTGATGCTGCCTTTATCAAAGGGCTGAAAGGCATTGTACAAATGACCAGGACACTTTTATTGCAAAATTATTTGACAGTTTCATTATTCAAGGTTCATTTTTCACCACCAATTCCAACTAAGTTATGGTTAGTATCTTTTAAAACAGGACTACGAGTGGCCCTGACATAGTCTGCCGTTATCACTGATCTGGATGCTCATGCAAACTTAAGCTTGCACATTTTTCTTCTTGTTGTGCCACTTGTTAAATAATAGTACCTTCTGGAATTTGCCCCTAGCATTTAGCTCTTCAGAAGAACTCATTACTCACAACTCCTGTGGGGCTGAAGAGAAGGCAGTGAATGCTCAGTATCTTTTAGAATCAAGCTTCAACAGATATTCTTTCATATACTGCATTTAAGACATCAGAAGCAATCTAATGTCCTTAAGATCTCACGATGTTGGATAATAAACTCTAGAAAAAGATCTATTAGACTCTAATTAGGTGCAGTCCTGGGAACTCAGATCCCCCACACATTGAGTTCAGAATTTGAGAAGCGACTGATCCAGATCAAGGTTTAGATCAGTATGACAGTAAAGTATTTGATGCATCACACACACACTGAACGATCTGTGTGTGTGAGTATGATATGTTCAGATACTGCAATCCAGGCCAGCATATAGCTGTCTATATAGAATATACACATAAGGATAAAAATGGAAGCATACACACTTGTCAGGACATTCCAAATAGGGAGCTGAAACATCAGTGAAATATATTAGACAGCACAGTTCATTCTTACTGCTTTTGTAATTTTACACATTTAAGGATGCTAGAAAATAACAACAAAAGTGTTATTAAAATTATATATAAAATGTTTACTTTCCTAAAGTTGGTTTTTTTCCAGCAATATCCTGCCTCCCTTAAGAAACACATACATAAACCACAGTGAAAACACTTTAGATTTATTTTAAAGCCAGAGTTTGAAACAGTTCCATTACTGAGTGGTGGTATTATGACAGTATAGATAATTCATTCCTCATTCAGTTTACTTCCATTCATTTGCATAGTGCAATCCTTTTTAGTTAAAATGTTATAAAACTTGTCTCGGGGTTTTGTCACACTTTTAAAAAAGCATCCTATTTTACAGCTTAGGCATCAAAAACATAAAAGGAAAATGTAGCTCAGATTACATCAAAGTTGCTGAAGTTTCTGTTGGTACTAGTATATACATAATCAAATTCAATTTGGTTCTATAACAGGGAGTCCAAACCTTTTCTTGTTGAAACAGAATGTTTGCCACCTGCCTAGGTTTCCTGAGTATCATGTAACAAGGTTACAGATTACATCTTTAATATAAAGTATTTTGTAAATAACCACCCCAGTATACAGTATGATCAGGATAGAAAGCCAGCACACATTCAGCCTTAGCCTTCAGTGATGAGAGCTAACTAAATCCATGTGTCCAGAGACTGGGCATCCTGGGTTCATGATTTTCAAAAGATTTTCCCAAATGACATGTTCCCAACTGGTGCATCTTCCTTGACACATCACAACAGTTTTAAAAAAAAAAAAAAAACACAACAAAACCCAAAAAACCCAAAATGAAACATAATAGTACCTGAGTGCCATGAGTAGTACCATGTACAGCTTTCAGGGGAAGGGAAATTCTCCAGAGAAGTTTCAGTAAACGTGCAGCCTCTTCTAAAATCTGCTGCACTGTGTGAATATTTGCAGAAAAGCTATGCAGTGATGCCTGGTCTGGTACCTATATAATAGGATTAGAGACATGTTGTATTTTATGCTTAAAACATTATGAAAATGCAATCTTAATTAATGGTTTAAATCCAGTTGGTATGATTTCATATTTAAGATGACATACACAGCTATTGTGTGCCACAAAAGCTAACTTTTCAGTTTACAAAAACTGCTGAATTATGCATTATCTGAGAATTTCAGGAAGGGAGGGGATTTATCCTAATCAATAACCATGATTAATAATAGATTATATTTACTAGATTTGCTATGCCACATGGTAATAGTTGGCAACTCTCTTCTTTCTCCATTTGCATTTCGTGTCACATTATTTGAAAGTCAAATGATTACAGACATCAATTTAAGCAATATAGATGTTTCTTCCTTAGCAGACCCCTTAAACTGTTCCATTTAATGCTAAAATAACTACCAGGACACACATAAAATGTTTTCCTCTGCTGACAGATGAGAAAACCAAATTGAAGAAATTGCATAAATGTGAAATAAAGGAGGGAAAGAATGCACGGGGAGCAAATGAATTACCAAAGCAATGGTGATACAGAAGGGGGAAGGGTAATGAAAGAAAAGCATTCACAGTTCCTGCCCCATGCAGCATATCATTTGAATACTTATTTAGCATTGTTATTTAAGCAGAATCCTCCTGTCACATAAAATATCCCATTTGCTAAGTAGTCTGAAACTTCGGTGATGCAAAGCTTGATAGGAAACTGCAAATTGTGAAACTTACTGCTTTTATCTTTACCCCAACAAAACAAGTTAAAAACTTACAGAGAGATTACTTTTTCAGTCATTATCAGTATCTTAACTAGGTCATTTGAAAATATATGATACTTCAGAGAGTCTTAAGTGTCATTCAGACATCCTTTTACTGTGTGAGCACACATGTGATACCACAAAAAGAATTTCAGAATTGTTGAAGACTGCATCTTCAATAGCTTTACTAATTATAACTAGAAAAATAAGTAGCACAAATCTATCCATGCGGTTAAGGCCTTCTAGTTTTTGAAGAGCAGCAAGCATGTTTTTTATAACATTTATATTATCATAAAATCACAGTGGTGAAAAGGACTTTCATTAGTCACTTAGTTTACTCTCCCACTTCAAGGCAGGAAAGCATTACATGTAATATTTCAAACATTCATGTAATCTGTTCTTAAAAGTGCCTCCAGGAACAGAGTGTCTGAGCAGCCTCCATTCCAGTGCCTCACTATTTTTACCATTGGCACATTGTTTTAAATGCCTGATCTAAGCATCCCCTGTTGTGGTTTAAGTTTCTTAGTTCCTATTTGCTGCCACAGACATGTACAGATTGTTCCTTCCCTTTTGTTGAAGCTGGTAGGTAGATTTGTCTTATTCAGTCTACCCCATATATGCTATCATTAACTGTATCCAGAAATTAACAATATTAAATAAGAAAAAATTAGTGTAAGTAAAATCTAGTTGTTCTCCTGATTCTAGAGGAAAAGGATTGGCATTATTCAATACAAGGCAAACATTTTATTGGTTTAAGAATTATTATGTTTAAGACTACAGCAAAAGCACCATGACATGATATCACTGTGTCACACATGATGCAGAAGGATGATACACTATGTCGTAGAAGACAATATTTGATCATTAATGAGACATTCAAGTTTCTAGGCTAGCTACCGATATTGCTAAAGTGTTCAATTGATATCAGGAAGTGGAAAAATATTAAAAAGGTTCCCTAATATGAAACAACCTTCATTAGCATACATCCATCATTAATGTATAGTTATCACCTGGTGTTACTGAAGGGCTGAATACAAGTGGGGAACTTTATCAGCTGTATATCAGATTTCTTTTAAGTGTCTCATATTTTCTGGCTTTATCCCAAGCCTTCATTACAAGAAAATATCCTCAATTATTTTTATCCTTAGGTTACTGATACAGACCCCTCGTTTAAGCCCTTTCTAAAGCATTTCAGAATTTTATCTGGGTTTTTTTGTTGTGGTTGTTGTTTGGCTTTTTTATCATTTCCAGTGTAACAATCACCAATTTCCATAGTAAAAGCAAGTAGTTTCACCTCATTTCAAGTTGCAAGTAAAAGTGAGATTGCTTATTAAAGGACCAGAATTAACTAATTTATCCATAGCCTCATTAACCCAGAATCACAAATAGGTGCCTGCATCTAGGTGAGACTTGGACTGTCAAGGTTGAGGTGTCCTGACAGTGTTACTCAGTTAATGATGCCTGCGGCACCATTAACCTAGTTCTTTGCTTTTGTAAACTTATACATTTTGCACCTCTAGGTAAAATTCACCATCCTCTAAACAGCTTTCACTGTTTACCTTTATTCCAGGCTCCTGCAGTTTCGTACCAGTGACCTCTCTTAAAGAAATATCCATTTCTGCTAAAACCTGTTGCCCTTCTGAAATCTGTTTCCGCAGAGCATTATAATCCTCAATCAAGCCAAGAACGTGGCGCCCATTTTTGTCTGCCCACATACGATGTCCAGGCACAAGACGAGGGGTACATGCCATACTGGAAGATGAAGTGCTACTGCAGTGTGAAGTGCTGTCTAAGTCATCTTTAGAGGCTGAGTGTGTACCTGGGACAGAAAAACAGTTTAATCTTTTTTTATGCTTACATGTAGAACTAGTTGACACTAGACTTCTCTTAAACAGCAAGTCTAGGATACTGATAACATGCACACTTAAGATACTTTTGGATGTACCTGGTTTTGCTAGTGAAATGCAATGTCCATGTTTCTGCAACTCACAAATGTTTCTGCTGGTAGCAGGACATTTGCAAAGATTTTCTATACATAGAAGTGGGACAAAGAAGAGTATATCAGTAGGAGTTAACATACATTAAAAAAAACTTCCTAGCTTTACTTCTGTTCCTTTTTTTTTTTTTTTTCTGATGATGCACTTGGACTCAGGAAGCAGGGAAACACAGCTAATATTCTAGTACCATGCCATGTATCTTCCAATATTTACCTACATTAATCTTTTTAGCATCTGTCCAAAGTTCTAGATATCTCCCAAAATCAAGTCATAGTCAGAAAATCTAAAATACATCCTGATGAAGATATTGTAATCAACGAATGTAAGCTGCCCATTAACTCCACAAAAAGTATGACACTCTCCACAGCTGTACCACACTTATGATCATATCTATATCCCCCCTCTTCAGACCTTCCAAATTCCCTAAGTACCTATGAGTAAAGACTAATGACAGTACATCTAGAAAGCTAACAAATTCAGCTGTTGACATTCCAAGGAGTCTTTCTGGTCCATATCAAACCAAGCTATTATAACTCTATTCACCATTTTCTTAAAGAAGGAACGAGCTTCTCTAGGCTCCTATCTACTCTACCTGATGTAGGTCAAAAGCATCATCTAGGATTGTATCTAGAAATTAACCAAGAACAAAAGCAATTTGGGGATACTGGTGGTACAGGTTCCCTGCAATAGCTGTTCCACACCTACTTGATCATGACTGGTCCTAAGCAACCATCCCCATATGCAGTACATGACTGTAATTTAGTGTTCAAGTATAAAGTGCACAGAGAATGGTAGCAATCCGTAAATGTTATCTGCTGCATTCTGCATCTTTCTTACTTGTACAGAGCAGCATAGAGTTATGTTCATCATGTATTTCATCTGAAGTATGATTCTGATTGGATACAATGGACCCACAAAAGAAGTAAGGTGATAAAAATCCCTGTTGTGTCTCTCAAGCTCTCACACTAATCCTCTGACTAGTGCTGTTGCTCTGTGTGGTGCGTAAGATTTAGGTAGGCATGTTCAGATGAAGTGCATGGACCCAAAAAGACCCATTGTTACTGCTTCCCATAACACAATGTACCCCTGTACAGGCAGTAGGAGGTGGCTTTAAGCTGGACGTATGGAAAGCTGCTACTATGCAGAGTACTTTAGCATAGCATCATAGAATCATTTAGGTTGGAAAAGACCTTTAAGATCATCAAGTCCAACCATTAACCTAACACTACCAAGTCCACCACTAAACCATATCCCCAAGTGCCACGTCTACACGTCTTTTAAATACCTCCAGGGATGGTGACTTAACCACTTCCCTGGGCAGCCTGTTCCAGTGCTTGACAACCCTTTCCATGAAGAATTTTTTTCCTAATATCCAATCTAAACCTGCCCTGGCACAACTTGAGGCCATTTCCTCTTGTCCTATTGCTAGTTACTTGGGAAAAGAGACCGACACCCACCTCACTACAGCCTCCTTTCAGGCAGTTGTAGAGAGCGATAAGGTCTCCCCTCAGCCTCCTTTTCTCCGGGCTAAACAATTTCCAGTTCCCTCAGCCGCTCCACATAAGACTTGTGCTCCAGACCCTTCACCAGCTTTGCTGCCCTTCTTTGGACACGCAGCAGCGACTCAATGTCTTTCTCATACTGAGGAGCCCAAAACTGGACACAGTATTCAATGTGCAGCCTCACCAGTGCCAAGTACAGGGGGACAATCACCTCCCTGCTCCTGCTGGCCACACTATTCCTGATACAAGCCAGGATGCTGTTGGCCTTCTTGGCCACCTGGGCACACTAGTAGCTCATGTTCAGCCGGATGTCAACCAACACCCCCAGGTCCTTTTCTGCTGGGCAAGGAAGCAGCAAGGAAAAACATTCTTGTACCCTCTGCATCCCATGTACATCTATATTGGGACCATAATCTAACCCTGTGTGTAAACACTACATTTTCCCTGATTTGCTAAAACAGTATCACTTAACAGTGATTGAAATAAAGGTCAAATATTCCTCAAGGGCAAAAAGGGGACAACTGATTTATACAAAGACCATTTAGTGCACTTATTGATTCTTCTTGAGTAATACGTAGTCACCCGTAGCAAACACTATATAGACCTCTGCATTAAAAACCAAACCCCCAGGTAAGCAAAAGTTATGGCAATTTAATGTAGGCACCCTTCCATCCCAGAGCCTGTCCGCAAATGCTTCTCTTGAATGAAAAGGAAGTGACGGTGGCTATAAGACAGTGCAGTGTGCATTTCATCTCCCCATCCACTAATAGCTCTAACAGGAAAGGGATTTGAAAGGCCAACAGGCAGCTCCCAAATGTACAGTTGATGTTGTATAAGGCTTTAAGAGCATCTTTAGAGAACAAGGCATAGGTTCTACAGTATAACAAAAGCATGCATGGCACAGTACCATTCATTCCTGCATAATGCTGAGATTCTTGTTTGAAAAGATAGTTGATATTCACAGCTGACACTGATCCCACTTCCTCTCTCTTTTCTTTTGAAAGCTGTTCCTCTAATTTTTCATGCAAAGACTTGTTTGTCTCTATGCTTCTTTCAAGCTGCACTCGCAAACTCTGTATTTCAGTCAATAGTTCATGTAAGTCAAGTGGATTATTCTGATCTTTTCGGAATTCTTCTGATGCATCACATCTGGGATCTGAGACAATTTCAAAAGAAACACTTAACATCTTTAACAATTAAAATATTATTAGCCATTATCAGAATGCTGAGCAAGTAAATTATAGCCAGCTTTATCCTCAATATTAAGAATTAACTACAAACAGCATTAAGATAATGGTTTGACAAAAAAGCATGTCTTAATTGCTTCTACCCTCGAAAGATTTAGAGCCGAAAATTATTTTTCACTTTGTCCATAAAAGCTAATAAGTCTCATGCCAAAAGCAAAAAAATATAATAAAAAGAGAATGAAGAGGATCTGCAAAATTTGAAGTGCATTAACGCACAGTCTGGGTAAAGAAAAAAGAAATGGGTAATCTCACAGTGCGGAGGAGGAATGGAGTAGAATTGGGAGTTTAATTTTATACACAGAAGAAAAAAGAAAATAGTGATCACCTGGCAACCAGAGGAACAAATCTGAACCTGAAAAAAGCAAGGGCTGTGTTCGTCTTGTCATAGAAGGAGGTCAGTACACAAACAATTCCATGTATTCTTTCATGCTGAAATCAAACTGTTTTCCCGACAGTGGGAAGGGGCTCAGCTGCATGAGGAGGGCGCTGCTACTCTCTAATTACATTACCAGTTCTGCAAGGAAACTTACTTCCACCCCTGAGCCAACTTCAGCTTAAAGCCTTATACCAACAGGGCTCTTCTGCTACAGCTAGGCATGAAATACAGTAATGGCAGGGCATATTACTTAAAGTAGCAGGAAGGAAAAAAAAAAAAAAAAAATCAACTTTTACAAGAACTTCCAATGGGAAATTTGCCAGACACCATAATGAGTATGCAGCAATGAACAGTATTCCACCTCTTTACCTAACCATACCAACAGCTATGTGGTGGTATAGCTTCTTAAAAAGGGGTAGGAAGAACTCATGCAAGTCTCGTTCCTATTCCTCACCTTTAGTGACAGAAAAGCGGACAGGAAATTATTAAACATCTCATTCAGAAAACAGTGCCAGCACTTCTCCCCAGCCCTAGGGAGAAGACACTACCCTCATATTCAGACAACAGAAAGCACAAGCTACCCAAGTAAGCACTACCTGTGAGGATGCAGCAGCATGTATTTAGATGACAAGCAAATAACTAAGATCCCCACGAAGCTTATCCAGCCTGAGCCACTGAATCTTCAATATTTGTTTTTAGCTTAGCTAAAAAGATAAAGGAAACTTGGGTGTGCTTAGTCAGAACATATCATACATCTCAACCTTGCAGTTACACTCTTAAATAAAAAGCAGCATTTTATCATCAAGCTGTCAGTTCTACTTTGCATAGTAGACACAAGTAGAAACAAAGAAATAGTGACCTAGCCCTACAGTCCTTTGACAAGATCATATTCAGAGAGGGAAGGGCTGCAAGGGCTATGGGTATAGAAACAGTTGTGCATTTATACCTGTCCTCTTTTTTCTTGCTTCTTCCAACTTTTCATAAACCTTGATCTCAGTTCGGAGTGACTGCAGTAATTTCTCATTCTCAGAAAGCTTATGTTGCTTTACATTAATTTCTGTTTGCAACCTGTTAAGTCCCAATAAACAGCAAAGTTAAGTGTTAAGTTCTTATCTTCTGTTTCAAAATCTAAAATCCATTCCCCTTTCCTCCATAAGTCTTCCCTTGCCTTTTGAATGTATCTATGCACCTCATTAATGTTAACGGCTATGGCTAAACACACGCTTGTCACATTGACAATTTTCTTCTCTAAATGAATGTCTAAATGTGGACAGAATCAATACCTGTTTAATTCATTACGACTGCTGTAAATCTGACATGTCAGATATCTGGTTTCATCCTCCTTTTGGCCAATTTGTTTTTGCAACCTTTCATTTTCTTTCTTGAGGCATCCATAATCCTCATGAAGATGCTCAATGAATGCATTCTTTTTAGAAAGAGATTCTCTTAACTTTTCATTTTCCTTTTGTTTATCTGAAACAAGAAGAAACACAAGGTATTTGCAATGCCCACAACCCATTAAATCTACGCCTTTTAACAAAATCAGCTTTTTCAGAGACTGTCAGAAAATAACAGCTGCTGTTGTGATTTTTAGGATTTCAATATTTCAATTTTCTAACAATTTCCACTAGGTGCATTTTCTGTAACATGCAACATTGAAGCCCCAGGACTCACAAAGGCTCAGTAAAACCCTGTGTACGGCCCTAAATGCCCAATGCCCACAACACCTCTTGGAATTTGGTCAGACAGATAGTATTCAACAACTAGTGTTTAGCAGGGTCCCAAAGCAGGCACATGAATTTTGCCAGTCCTCACAAAATAATGGATTTGACTTCTCTTTAGAAAGAAATTACCTCAGTAGGATTGTTCTAGGGCATGTTGCATCCATGTTCCTCTTTGTCTCACAAAAATCCCTCTGTCCTCTCCTTCCCAGCCCTATTCATCTGCTGAATATATCATATCAGTCCTTCTTTCCTTAGCACAAGCTATTTCCCCAGACTGGTTCTGTGACAAAGAATTGCTGATGGGGCAACTAAGCATTCTGAGACAGCTGCAATTAGAGAGGCTTATGGGGACCCCAAGTTTTTTGTGACCCTATGTTTGGCATTGGAAAAAGAGGCAGCAACCTTGGCAAAGCAGAGAGGAATCGTTCCATCTCCCAACAATCAGAAAATCATTTCCTCAACTCTAGTAGTCCTGTTGAAAGTGTGTGAAAATAGTAATCCCCATGTGCTGTTAAAAATGTGCATTGCCAGTTTTTCACTATTGAAAACTTAAGCAAAGTCTAGACAGAAAGCACCTGAGACCAAAACATACAGGTGGTATCTAAGAGGCTTCTCTTTCTTTAGTGCATCCAGGAATAAAAGGAAAACAACATCACAAACTCCAGAGATAACTGACATTATTATAAAACACAAGGGCGACAATGCTCTATTCATCATGGTTCTTATAAAAAAGAAACCTTGGTATTATCAGATCATATTGTCAAACGTGGAAACAAACAAAAGCAGGCATATATTAATTAAAAAAGTAGAGCTTGAACAAACTGGTAAGCACTTATAACCTAATTGTAGCTTACGCTGCTTTTAATAACCTAGCTGGCAAATTGTTGGGTTTTTTGGGGGGAAAGAAGAAGGAAGACTTTTAATATCCTCTCTTCACAGGTGTGAAAATGAGGAAAGTTAAAATTAATCTCAGAGATCACAAAGACTTCCAAATGGATTCCCCCAGTTCTGTTCTCTTCTAAATTGTTTCCAAAAAGAAGATGACTTGGCCTGTCCAGTCAACCCTCTGCAGCAGACTTCTGAGCCTTCTGAAATCCTCTGTACTGAATAGTTCCATTTGCAGCAATAATGCTATTTTATAGCTTTTTTTTTTTTTTTTTTTTAACAGAGCTTCAGCATGGGGAAAAAGGAGCAAGAAAATGGTAATAAAAGGCAAGGGGGTAAAAGGATAAAGAATGTATAAAAAGAAAGGAATGGAAAAAGAAGAATGGAAAAATGAAAGGTAATATCATATGGAAAATGGTACAAATAAACAGAAAGGAGGAATATTACTGTTAGTCCTTTATCACTGTTAGCCCCAGTTTTAATGCTTATGGTTGAGTATGGAATTTCAGGAGTGGAAAGAATGGTTAAGTCCATTTAATGAATGGACTGTTAATATTTTATTGTTTTCTGATCTGAAATGAGTTGCAGTCTACTCCTGTAAAGCACAGTTTTAAATTTTTACCTCTGGATCCTTTTGCTAGCATTGCATTCAGAACTTGATTTTGCTTCCTCAGGAAATGTATTTCAGAAGTCAGGGAATTATGCTGCTCTGAGCCATGGATAAAAATGTTTGCAGAACCTATAAATATATACATAAAAGATGATTTATGAGTCATCTCTAGGTCATTAAAGATTAAATAGTCATTATTAAACAGCAATTTAAAAAATTGCAGAAAAACATGTTATGAAAGATATTTCTCCGCTATATATTTTGAAGGTTATCCCTACAGACTGAAAGGCAGTTCAGGTTAATGCCAAGTAATCCAAAGCCCTGCATCACAAGTACCTCTCACTGCTGGGCAACCATTACCAAAATTGCAAAATTATCCCTGGCAGTCTTTACCTATCAGCTAAAATTCCAACAGGACAAAATGCAGGAGTATTTTGTGACATCGCTATTCTTTGAAAATAATGCAAACAGTATGAAGGTTTACCACATATTTCAGTCTTGCTCTGTTCATACTCTGTTGTATTTAATGACACCATTGCAGAGGACCACTAGATTCTACAAACTAGTCCACGGTGGGTAATGCAGGAAGTAACATAAATAGTCTGGTAATACGTTTGTTACCATGCCAGTCTAGAGCATAAGGCTGGAGTCACTCTCTTTGCCTCTGCTTACAAACTGAGAACCCATTTATGATCCCAGGGATGAAGACTCATCCCTCTTAAATTTGTGTATTTAACATTCAGATATCTGAGCCAGTGTTGATCAACCTATGACTTCCATCAATAGTCATGGGGAGAAACAGGAACCTCCAGAGAGTGACTCATCTGATGTATCCTCTACGCACCTCTCTGTGGATGAGATGCCCTGTCCTCTGAAGAGACATACTTCTCTCCAGTGCCTCCACGAGAACCTCTGGGTAACTGGCACAAATTTAGATGTCTGAATTTTAGAAACCTTAAGGCTGATGAATCCTACTCTGAGGATCTTACTGTGCTAGTCATAGGAATGTAAGTGTTAAATCGTGTATCCAGTCAGTCAAATTCCAGCCTAGGTAATCCTCATAATGTACTGTATTTATGCTACTCATCCCACAGCGATGTATAATGTTACCGTACAGTCTGAAAAGTGCCACATTCCACTCTCAGGGTGGCTGCCTCTGAAATGCAAGTCAAGTAATTGTTATTGCCCTTTATAACGTGCTTATAGTCAGTTAAACACTTCAGGACCCACCAGAATTAACATTATTATTAAAAGTATTTTTCAGTTGATTGGTTATCCCAGTATCTCCTACGCTTTAAAGCTTGAGATAAGTACATAAGTGTCAACTATTTGGTTAATAGAGAAATAACCAGCTGGCAAAAAAATTAGCTGAATGTATGAGGAGGATGCCTTTCAGCTCTGGCAGTTCAATTCAATTCGATGTGCTGCACTTCCTCTGAGTAATCTCATTTTATTGTAATCCCAACTGAAGCTTTTACCCACTACCTAACTGGGATGTAGTGTGCCATGATATGCACCTCTTGTCGTTACTGAAAGACTCAAAGGCTCTAGAAGCCTAGCACTAATGGCATTTTACTATCTATATGTTAAAGAGTTGAGGTAGCTATGTGAACTCAAAAGGCTTTTTCCTTTCAGATTTTAACAAAGCAATTCAACTTGAAGTAGCAAGGCTTGATGGTCTCATCTTGATTCTAATTTAATTTATTGCCCATCACCCAGCTTTATCCTATTTGAAAAGTTATGCTATCACAGTTCTGCTGAAAGGCTTTAGAATATAACTATTAGTTATCTTACATAATAAGGGATAATGTAGAGTCAGTGGTAATAAGGCCACAATCCTGCAATCTGACCCACTACTGAGACCACTACTTGTGTGTAGAGCCATGCTGACATCAATTATCCTCTCCATAGATGCAAAGGTCCATCTAACCAGAGTAAAGTGGAGCATCAGGGCCTACAATTGCAATACACTTGAGTTTTCATTATGTTTTGTGCTGAAAAAGTGAGTGCTAAGGAAGCATACCTTGAAGGTTTCAAAGGAAACACTGAATGAAAGACAGGCACTATTGAAAATCACAGCAAAGAGGAAGGAAATATTAATTCCCAGGTAAAGCAAAATAGAGGCATACTAAAGCTGAAGATAAATCTGTGTAGATACATTAGTTCCTTATGTGTTAAAAAAAGCAAACAAAAGCCCCTTTTAATGTTAACTGCCGTTAATAACATTTGAAACCTAGGAAACTCAAAATTAAACCTTTGATTTTATTTTGAAGCCTAACATTTGAAATGATTGAAGCAATTTATTTTAGTTCTACTTGCACTGCAAACCTCAGCTCTATAGTAACGATGTAGTCATTACCAGCACTTGAGTCATTTATAGAATACTAGAAGCCTAGAGGCATTTAAAAACTTAGAAAATCTAAATATTAAAAATAGCATGGCAAAAATAGTGGGCAGATGTGTGTATATAGAGCCATATAATATTTATCAGACAAGAATAATTCTATGCATTAACTTGGGTTGAACAAACAACTCAATATCACATGAATTTAACAGGCTCTCATCAACAATTAAGTATGTTACAACTTGGTTTTGTTTTTTAAAGGAAAACAAACTAAGGATATTAACTTAAAAGTAAAAAATTGTTTTGAAATATGTCCCAAAGCTAAAATCTGCTTCAACTTCACTTAGGAACATTTTCTTACACAGTCTTTTTCTTTGACAGTCAAAAAAAGCCCATCTATTAGGAAGAAAAGTAGCATCATTACTAGAAGAGAGAATACGCATATCTGATAACATGAAAGAGATCTTCAAAACGGAGGAAACAGGAAGCACTGAAAGCACATAGTAACAAAAAGGATCTGCTCTAACAGGTAGTTGCTTTTTTCCTTTCTTTTCCAAATTTCTCCTCCATGCATTGGTATATGCGCTAAGGCAACAAGAAGACAGATGGAAGGCATAAGACAGTTTATAAAGAAAATATACTTTCACTGCATTAATGGATGCCCTTGCCAGAATCTTTATGAAGCTGTAAAAGAGTTGGAAGTGTTTCAGTGTGGTTATTTCACGAGAACAGTATGCCTTTCCAGCAGTGTAAATACTTCATGAATGAAATGGATGCGTTTTATACACCTTTCCATCACTGTAAATTATTCCTGAAAGCAAACTGCTATTTGTAGGTAGTCTCCATTTAAACAACAACAGAAATGGATCATGGGGATGATGTAAAACATAATGAATCCAATATCAATGTTAATGAAACTGAGTAAAAAGAAAGCATGTATGTATTTATTGCCTGCTTCCACTCTGAGTAATATTATGTGTTAATTGATTGTCCTATGGGGGGAAATGTGGGGAGGAGAGCAAGAACAGAGTAAAGTGTAGGAAAGTATGCCTGGTACGGTGTGCTTGGAAAGGTGCTACAAAAGCATCCTTAGTGAAAAGTGAAAGCCTGGCTACCCTCTTGTTGAAAAGTTTTAAATGCACCACAGAGCTTGGCTTTCAAAGATGCTGAACACTAGCAACAGAGAGCAGTGACTCTGAATTTGCATACCTATTTTCTGTATTTTTCATCCACTGCTTTATATTAGAGTTTGGAATGAAAACCATGTCTATGTTAAATTTTCCATCAGTTTCTGTCAGGTATTTCTCATTAAAAGCTTACAATGTCATTTTGTGTAGAAAACATTTATCACACCAATCAATTCAAATGACAAGCTGAACACCATGACTTAGGCTCTGTCTTACAGACATTTTGTCCCTGTATGTAAACGCAAGCTGGCTTTAAAGCAGTCAGAAAATTCCAGAGAAGGCATCTTCAACAATCCTTTTAGCAGTGGTGCTGTACTGACCACCCTGGGTACACACAGAGTGGGAATAGGAAAGCTAATTCCACAGCATTCCTATTTTGGATCAATAGCAGCAATGTAATGTAGAGCAAAGCACCTCCTCCTCTATTCATACGAGGCCCAGGCCCCAGTGAAATTATGTTGATAAAATGGGCTTCCTCTCCTGCAGCTGTCCCTGGCTGGACATGGGAGAGAATTAAAAGAGGATGTCATCCTAAAATCCAAGACCGTTACAACAATAATGATATCCCAAAGGCACAAAAAAAACCAAACAAACAAACAAAAAACCCCCAAACCTAAACAAACAAACGAAAGGCAGACTGTTTGCTGATAACAGAACTAGAAGAGTCTTTTAATTCTCTGTATAAAATTCAACCACAGCATCATCAAATGTCATAGAACTACCTGGAAGTCCTGTTCTCTAAGTAATATGTGCGATTGCAGGTTTGAGGCTGTGCGGTATACCTGCACCCATAAAAGATTTGTGCGTTGGTACTGGATACACTTCAAGCAATGGACTCAAGGAAGAGGCATGTTAGATCTGTATTTATGCCACTCTATGGGCAGCATGGAAAAGCTGTGTCTGCTGATGGAGCTCAAGATGCAGCAGTACTCAAAGAAAGGCACATCATTTTCCAACTGTAAAGGGGTGGGGTTTATTCAAAAAAGCACACAAAACATTTCCAGCAGCATTTGATCCCTCGGGCTTTAAGCAGGAAAGGTGGATTTAATTTGCCATGAAATAAATCCTTACCTTGATCTAGTTGTTTGTCCGTTACTTGTCTCTCAAGCTGCTTCCTCAGTCTCTCATTAGTTTTTATGGAGTATTCTAAACGTTGTCTCAGGATTCTAATTTCTTGCAGATGCTCCATTAATAACTCTAAATAAACCAAGAGGCCACTTCTTATTTAGAGTAACTGATTGTATTCCTTTACACTGTGTACTCCTGTCAAATCTAATGTGAGTTAATACTAAAAAATGATACAGAGCTGTTCAAAATGGCAGACATTAAATATCTGACTCCACAATAGCCGTTTTCTATATAGTGCCCAAAGCGTACATTTAGTGAAAACTCCTACTCTACATTTTAACTTAAACAATGGTCCAGTTTTAAGGCTCTTTAAATTTCTTCTTCCTACAAAACTGTAGTAGATAACAATTTTATCTAGTTAAAATGTTCCCCATACTGGGAAATGAATCCGAAGTTCTGCAATGCAGCTCCACATTCAGGCTCAACACTCCAACAGTATACATTTTTCCTTATAACAATAGGAAGCTTACCAGAGTAACTCAGATATAAATTTTACTTTGACTTACACAATACATACTATAATAAATAAATCTGTTCTATCAAGTTTCATTACTGTACCTTTTCCTTCTTGCTTTGCCATTCTACAATTTTTCTTCCATTGGCTGTAAGTTTCAGCTTTACTCAGGAACTTATCTGTTCTAACTGTCACTATCTTATTTGTCAGTTTATCCATGTCATACACTCCTGGTTTACGCTGCAATATTTTTCTCTGGAACAGTACATGCTATCTCAGCTATTAAATTTTCATCGCTGCCTATAACAAAGTACTGCAAGCATCACTTGTGCTTAGTGAAACTATCCAGGTCAAACATGACACCACTTATTAATTATGCAGCACTTACAATTCTCAAGGAAACACAACACTGGCTTTTATAGAATTAGAAAATCTCTCTTTTTCAATGTAATAATCTCTTGACAATTGTCTGTTTTCCCCTCATAACTTGTCTATTTAAAGACCGTCCGGAGTACTGTAAAAGATGATAGTATAAAACAACAAAGACGCAAAATATCATAGTTAATTTTGTTTCAAACAGGAGGTAGTTCAAATCATTGTCATCTCTGTATGCCTTATTACTGAAATTGCAATGATTATGCAAGATACTGGAAAGCTGAAGCAGAAAAACATTCTTCATTATTTCTTAATTAGTTCCCTTGTGTCTTATTTACCACATTTTCCCAATATCTAGCGAATCTTCAGTGGGAAAAAAATTACCTGGGGGAAACTTGTTTGGCAGAAGTGCCAGTGTGCCATGCTGTCCTTCTAGGTCATGCCTGCGCTCAGGTGATCCGAGAGACGACTTTTCTGACAAATCAAAGTCAGACAAGCTATGAAGAGCAGATGGTACAGGTGATTCATCCTTCAGTTGCTGGTACATTGTGGTGTTCTTCTCATTATCCCTTTTATGCCAAAAAAACCATTTTAAAATATAAAAATTACTTCATTACTTTGGAAGCATGACAGAGAGCATGGTGTCAAATTTACAGGACACAGGGAAAGCAAGTGAATTTATGCGACAGAACATGACAAAACACTACACATCAGAGGTATGTATCAAGACTGCAATTCAGACCTCCCTGAAGTCAGCTGGAATAATCAGTGGACCTCCAGCCTAGTGTTCACGTCCCAGCACTAGGCAGTCACCTTCGTGTTAAGGGGACCTCAAGCTGCCTCGAACAGGCAGCTGAGGATTTCTGTAGCACAGAAGAATCCCAGGCTGGCATAAAACCAACATATGCAGCACAACAACACCTGCTCTCTTCACCTTCAGCACAAGAGTGTTTTGGGAATGAAGTTCAACAGCACTGTACTTCTGTGACCCTGAGCCAGCCCCCAGTGTCACAGAAAGTTAGCTGACTATCCCTCCTCGCACCTGCAATTAGGATAGTATCTGAGCATACACAACAGTGTATTGTGGCACATGGGGGTTTTTGTTCATGGAAGGAACAATCCTGGTAGCAGGATGCTTCCTCTCAATATCTCAGCTGTTTGCTGAGAAATGAGGAAAAAAGCCTTAGTTTGTTTTCTATGGATATTTTATTAATAAAATGGATATTAACAGAACAGGCAACATAAGCAGTCCTCCTAAAAAGCAAAACACTGGAAGCTGTGCTACAAAACATGGAGCATCCTTATCAACTTATCAAACAACCCTATGTTTGAAAAACATTCAATTGCACTCTTACCTTTGAGCTAATTCATAAAGTATAGTAACTTCTGCACCTATTGATTCTCCTGCAAAGCAGAAATATCTGATTAACAACAGATATTGAGAATTATACTTTTTTCCCCTCCATCTTAAACTATTTAAATACAGAATGGTAAATTAATGAGAATTTAGAGAAGTCAACAGATACTCAACACACTGTCTATTAATGTCAAATGCTGTACATGAACAAAACTATTTATAGCCCAGCAACAAAGCAACAGCTTTCTCTGAAGCTCAAAAAAAAATTGGTAGGTACCACAGGTACCAGATTTTACGGCCTTGGTGTCTTACTTAGTATACAATGTGATGTAAAATATTGTGCTATATGGCAAAAGGATTAGGGGTACATGCCACTACTTCAAATAAAAATTATATAAAAACAATTCCCTCTCACTTGGGTTTTATCCACCCAGAGTCAGGCTAATCAGTTTTTATTAAGGCTATCTTTAATAAAGGGGCATAGACAGGTTTTGCCTGCAATATTCTCAGTGGTACAGTGTGTGAGCACAAGCACAATTCAGTGCAAGAGGTCTGGACTCAGACACTAATTTGAATAAGGAAATAAGAGTTTCATGGTGTCACCTTGGCTACCCATATTTTAAAATTTTTGTGCAATTAAGCAAAAGTGGTAGGCAAGAGTTGCACAGCTGAAATTTCAGGAGAATGAACTGAAGGTCAGGATGGAAATGCAGAGACAGACGGTTGTTTATGCTTCTTCTTTACAGTCAATTCTTAGTACGCTGGATGTTCTTTATAACCCTACAAACCATTTTATTTTAATGTGTGATTCAACGCAATACCATTGTGTTAGATATATTGAATTGTCTCGGTTGTCAGTGACTTTTCATAGTATACAGGATACCATCTGTTGGTTTGGGGATTTTTTTAAAGGCATTTAATGTTTATTCACTACACAGTCTTCTCATTTGTAATGCAAGGAATCTCTGTAGCCACCGAAATCATTGAATACACTCAATCTTTTATTACACTGCTATGACACACTAGCCATAATACCTTTTTCTCATATATAACTCCTTTATACGAGCAATCGAAACTGCAACATGCTGCCACTATCTTTAATGAAAGGCAGGATACAGATCATTGTATGGCTGGGTGCTGAACGTTTCTGAACAAAGTGATCTTCTAGAGCCAATTTCAGGAAGACATAGGGGACAGGGTCCTGATTTCAGGTCACCACAAGTGTCTCACTGAAAATGACAATTTTGCAGCTGACATCTGTGGAAGTATTGCTAGTTGTTTGGGCCAGAAAGAGCAACACTTGTGAGGGTAGAAAAGGTCTTTCTTGCTGAATTTCACTCATGTTAGCATCCCTTTTCCATCACTTTGCCACTAACTTTCTTCAAACTGCAGACTGAAGGCAATATGCGTGATACACTCTTCCTTCAGGTGACAAATGTCCATTTTGATACTCATCTTACAAAACATGGTTGCATTTTAGCTCTCTATTATGAGAGATAGCATGCTTTTCTTAACCAGCTAGACTATTTGGCAGCAAGATGCAGGTCTCTTAGGAAAATAATTAGAAATGTCAGGAATAATACATCCTCTGATATGGTCCCACTTCTTGGACGTTTAAGGCTTTGCCTGTCCAACTTAATGCTTTGCCAAACAATAGGTGGGGGAACTGGGATAAACAGTCAAAGGACAAGAACATTTTCAGATGTGTAAGCTCCCACTTGTCAGATAATATGCCAGTTCTCACTGATAATTAAAAGGGCTTTGCTTACTGGTACACATTACAATGTCCTTTCCTGGGTATACACTCCATTCAGCACTCTGCTTTCTCTAACACCAGGACAACACTTCTCTGGTTGACTTCTAGGACCCCTGCACAGGAGGCTCTTGTTCTACTATTATGCCCTACAGAAACCCTCAAATACACACCAATTTGCTAGATTTTCCCTTTTCCCCCCCTTATTTCAGTTTTTGATGTGCACCATTTGGGTGGGTTTCTCCATAAAGTCTATGGCTCTTTTTCTTGGTGCATTCAGTGACAGATGATTTTACACCTGCATACAAGTTAATGTGTTATTTCTACAGGAATATCAATAATGTGCAAATCAGCACGGTATGATCTTCCAACTGTCCAATGCAGGATTCCTTACAGTTTCTTTAAAGGCACTGGAAAATTGGAATAGAAAATTGCCTAGATGGACTACTATATGATAATTTCTTCTTTCACTCTAAAAGCATAGCCCAGATCTCTGCACTGCATTTACTCTTCTTGCAAGCAACTGCACTTTAGTGGAAAAACTTCAGGAACCTGTAGTTTTTTCTTTTTAGTTAAACATAGATTGTGTTAAAAACCAACTGTGAACCATACCCATGAGAACCCTTCAATGGAGATATCCGGTTCTTAGGCTCAACAAAGTCAGCTGGGCTGTTTCCTGAAACAGAAAATCCTGAAGCCTACTTGTAACTAAACTTTTACTAAACTATAACCACTGTATTTTGAACAGTTAAAATATGCATGTGCTAAGATAAACAACTCAAAATGGAAGGTGTCAATACAGAGGACAACTACAGAACTAAAATCCAGTCTTGTTGGAGCACTAAAATTTTATCTTCCAAGACAGTCCTCCCTATAAATCATTTAAAAGCAACCAAGAGGAAGTAAGGCTTCCTCTTCACTAAAAAAAACCCAACCACCTCAAATTTTGAGAACTTTAATGTATGTTAATATATCTCAGACAATAAGCACAAAACACTGCTACTTACCATACAGGAATTTCCTTTCTAGCTTCTCAAACAATAGTACACTTTGATTCAGTTGTTCACGGAAGCCTTCAGCAACATAATAATCTACATCACTGGCTTGAAGCAGTTCCTCAAAAGCTTTAATAAGGCTTGTCAGATGTTGATGGTAAGCGACACAACCACTGTGGATCTCTTTAATTTGTTGGTGTTGAAAGAAGAGTTCTCGAGCTTGTGAATGAACTAATGAATCATATCTGAGAAAATGAAATTATCTTTAGAGTAATTTCCTGACCATAAATAACATTTAAATATAAATAAAAAGTGAATTAAACTTATATTCCAAAGCTATAATTTTATATGACTCAATTTGCTTTTAAAATGCTTTTACAGCCACAATGAGAAATGTATTGTCTCTAACCGTTGAGTTTTGTATTTTGGGGCATAATTTGTGGGTTATTATGCTTCACTTAACTGCTTCATTTATAAGATGGGCAGAAATTAAAGTGATCACTTGTTTGTCTGCTTGGAAATAACCCAGATGGCATGCAAAGGTGTCAAATTAAAATAAGTAAGAGTGAATACATTAAAAGAATTTTTAAGAATAGACATATTTTTCCTGACCGGTTAGGTTTTTGTTGGGGTTTTTTGTTGTTTTTTTTTTTTTTAAATTCACTATGGAAGAACAGATGGAGCTGTCCCTTCTTCTGAAACTTTCCTGCCAGGAGCACAATATTGGACTTTCTGAGCTGATGGTTTCACCCAGTCTGAAAATTCTGCTCATCTCTGTTTATTAACAGAGACATGACCATGACAACAACTGTAGTGTCCAAACTCTTGTACTGCACAAGCCAGGATATAAATTTCAACTCAGATCAACTGAATTTATTCTGCACTTGCAAATATAGACATCCCTTTATACTGCCACTGTATGTATCAGAGACAGAATTCTTTCTACAGAATCATACATTAGTGGAGAGAAAAGGGAGAGGATCTGAAAAGATGCAGAGAATCAAACAAAATATGGGGCATCAACAAATTCTATGACAGTGTGGGTTGTTACAGAATTTTTATTGTCATTTGTATAGGAAGAGATGCATAAGTCATTTTTGGGTCTGTCACTTTTGACTCATGTAGCTGTCCTAGACAGTGGCCATAAAAACTTTACAGCAATCCATACTGTCTCATTCCTTAATTTATACAGTTAGATCTTCCTTTGTAAAATGGATGAGGTATATTTTCAAGGTATGTAAATTTATATGTACTATGTAGCACAATAGTATTTTATGATAGTAATACAAAGAGATATACAATAGTCCATGTTGGTGGTTGCTCAGTGTCTCCAAATATTTCTACTCAAGCATTCTGAAGAAGCCAACAGGCCAAATACCTTTCTTTGTTATACCTCCTGCCATTCTATAGGCCCTCAGGACAATAACAATATTAGAGAAGGGGAAAAAAAAAGAGCGGCGTAGTTAAAAAAGTTTTGGTCTTAACGGGACCTCATTTTATGTCTGTGATTTGTATATATGCTAGCCAAAATGCTGCCTCCAGTCTTACCATATAAAAAACAAGACTGATCCTTTCCAGCCCCCCCCAAATTGTTTTCCAGCTTATGAGCTTATGCTATAAAATTTCATTCATTAATTTCTACGTATATATTCTTCCACATCCTTCAAAGGAAGGTATTACGGCACTCAACTGCAAAATAAATCATACCTAGAGCATAAACCTCTTATTTTATACATAAAGTGTGGTCACACAAACAGAAGGGCTAGCATGAATCTGTCAGCTAACTGCCCATGGAAACATTTCTATCTTAAATGGGATATTCCATTTTCTTGCACTTGTCACCTAGAAAAAACCTGAGTGATACAAAAGTGTAATACTTTGATTACAGAGGTCAGCCCATCTCACAGAGTAACCTGAGGAGATCTGACTTTGCTCAAGAGAGGATCTCTTGCAGCAAAGAGAGTTGTGGACCTGAGGTGTGGGGAGAGACACAGGTGTCTGGCATAGAATCATTACAGAGGATGATATGAGCTTATCAGGAGCAGTTCTGTTTTTAGAGAAATACTGTTTTGTACTTCAAGGCATCTTTTAACTAAATGTTTCAGTTGCTTTATGTTAACGTTAGTGAACTCTAGCCTTTATTATAACAATACGCTCCTATCTGAATAAAATTATCTTCATATTACCTTCCTATGTTATTTGGTATTGCTGTTTACAAAAAGGTACCTGAAACAGTAATAGTTTTACTAACTTGGATGGTGATGTTTCTCTCAGGTTGTTCTGAAGATGATACATTTCACCAAGATGCATATTTGCAATTTGCTCTTTTTCAAGTTCTGCCTCATTTGCTGGTAGTAGTTCCTTAAGGTTTTCTGCTGTCCATGTACCAGCTGCTTTTGAAGACTCTGAATTCCTGTTTTCGGTGTGGATCTCATAATCCATCGGCTGAGGTACACCAGAAAATGTTTTGATTTCTTGCATAGCTGCATCTTGCACTTGTGTAACATGTCCTTCCACGGGCAAGGCTGCGTCACTCAAAACTATATTGGAAATACCACTTGATAAAAGCTGATCAGAGGTCTGTAAGTGAAACACGAACATTTTGTACTTTTCAAGCTCAGACTTCATATCCTTAATTCTTTGTTTCAATTCTTCTGTATCACCTATGACTTCACTGTCATCAAGTGCATCTGTACTTGTTACACTCATTTTGAGAGAATGCAGGCACTTGGAACCTGAATATGCAGTGGCTGAGTCAATGTCCTCATGTTCCATGGAATAAAAGTCTTCATTTATCTCTTTTAATGAATGCTGGATATTCACGTTGCTAATGTTATGATGATTTTGCATTTCTGAAAAACAGGAGGCTTGCATGTGAATATTAATATTTCTTTATCTGACATTCTGTTCTTAACAGCACTGGAATGAATTAATTTACTTCTATAATAACAGAATAAAAATGCAGAATAATTACAAACTATGCAATATTAGTTTTGGACCTCTGACCTCTTTCTGTGATTTGCCCATTAATTCAACTTTGGACATCAAATATTTCAAACCCCTTACCACCTTTCAAATAAACAATACTCAAAATACACCTGCTTTCTCTTCTGAAATGGTTGAACATTACTTTTGCTATATTCAATCCTGAATCAGACACCAATGAAGCCCAGTCCTTTGCAGCCACAAAGGTAACCTCAAACATAAGGCACTGACATTGAAAATTAGACTCTATGGCTTTAAATGGTTCTTCCTAAAATTCCTAATTAAATATTCTTTTTCTCCTCACTTCAAAAATCTATATAAAACCAATTGGAGCATAAAGTCAGTGGAATTTTAAAAAGATTATCAACAAAATAGTAAAATTTGAAAAAGGGTATTTAATAACGTCTTTTTTAAATGTGTTCTAAACAAAATCCATAAAAATGTTCAGTGTTAAAGGTTTCACTGGCACCCATTTGGCATGCACAGAACATCCCCTAGTTGACTTTGCCATTCATTAAGTAATGCAATCACCCCAGATTCAGACCAATAAAAGCTACACATTCCTACATACAGTCTATGTTTATAGTTCTGTGTATGTTGAGGGCTATATGTGTAAGTATCTAAGAAAATGGTTATTTTCTGGTTACCAGTAAATTAAATTTTCCCTTTCTATTAGTTCTGCCAAAGACCACTACGAATTAGAACCTCCCTTTTGCGAGTCATTCATTGATCTTGCGGAGGTCTTAATACTTTCAAATTGGTTTCCATGGAGAATTCGAATGCCCAGGTTCAAGCTCTAAATCAGTACAAAAT